AGGTTGGTTGTTCTCCAGTGTTAGTGGGTTGGTTATTCACCAGTGTTGGTGGGGTTGGATTGTTCTCCAGTGTTGGTGGGGTTAGTTGTTCTCCAGTGTTGGTGGGTTGTTTATTCTCCAGTGTTGGTGGGTTGTTTATTCACCAGTGTTGGTGGGTTGGTTATTCACCAGTGTTGGTGGGTTGGTTGTTCACCAGTGTTGGTGGGTTGGTTGTTCACCAGTGTTGGTGGGTTGGTTATTCACCAGTGTTGGTGGGTTGGTTATTCACCAGTGTTGGTGGGTTGGTTATTCACCAGTGTTGGTGGGTTGGTTGTTCACCAGTGTTGGTGGGTTGGTTATTCACCAGTGTTGGTGGGTTGGTTATTCACCAGTGTTGGTGGGTTGGTTGTTCTCCAGTGTTGGTGGGTTGGTTGTTCTCCAGTGTTGGTGGGTTGGTTATTCACCAGTGTTGGTGGGTTGGTTATTCACCAGTGTTGGTGGGTTGGTTGTTCACCAGTGTTGGTGGGTTGGTTGTTCACCAGTGTTGGTGGGTTGGTTATTCACCAGTGTTGGTGGGTTGGTTATTCACCAGTGTTGGTGGGTTGGTTGTTCTCCAGTGTTGGTGGGTTGGTTATTCACCAGTGTTGGTGGGTTGGTTGTTCACCAGTGTTGGTGGGTTGGTTATTCACCAGTGTTGGTTGGGTTGGTTATTCACCAGTGTTGGTGGGTTGGTTGTTCTCCAGTGTTGGTGGGTTGGTTGTTCACCAGTGTTGGTGGGTTGGTTGTTCACCAGTGTTGGTGGGTTGGTTGTTCACCAGTGTTGGTGGGTTGGTTATTCACCAGTGTTGGTGGGTTGGTTATTCACCAGTGTTGGTGGGTTGGTTGTTCACCAGTGTTGGTGGGTTGGTTGTTCACCAGTGTTGGTGGGTTGGTTATTCACCAGTGTTGGTGGGTTGGTTATTCACCATTGTTGGTGGGTTGGTTATTCACCAGTGTTGGTGGGTTGGTTGTTCTCCAGTGTTAGTGGGTTGGTTATTCACCAGTGTTGGTGGGTTGGTTTTTCACCAGTGTTGGTGGGTTGGTTGTTCACCAGTGTTGGTGGGTTGGTTATTCACCAGTGTTGGTGGGTTGGTTATTCACCAGTGTTGGTGGGTTGGTTATTCACCAGTGTTGGTGGGTTGGTTGTTCACCAGTGTTGGTGGGTTGGTTATTCACCAGTGTTGGTGGGTTGGTTATTCACCAGTGTTGGTGGGTTGGTTGTTCACCAGTGTTGGTGGGTTGGTTGTTCACCAGTGTTGGTGGGTTGGTTGTTCACCAGTGTTGGTGGGTTGGTTATTCACCAGTGTTGGTGGGTTGGTTGTTCTCCAGTGTTGGTGGGTTGGTTATTCACCAGTGTTGGTGGGTTGGTTGTTCACCAGTGTTGGTGGGTTGGTTATTCACCAGTGTTGGTGGGTTGGTTATTCACCAGTGTTGGTGGGTTGGTTATTCACCAGTGTTGGTGGGTTGGTTGTTCACCAGTGTTGGTGGGTTGGTTGTTCACCAGTGTTGGTGGGTTGGTTATTCACCAGTGTTGGTGGGTTGGTTATTCACCAGTGTTGGTGGGTTGGTTGTTCACCAGTGTTAGTTATTCACCAGTGTTGGTGGGGTTGGATTGTTCTCCAGTGTTGGTGGGGTTAGTTATTCACCAGTGTTGGTGGATTGGTTGTTCACCAGTGTTGGTTGGGTTGGTTATTCACCAGTGTTGGTGGGGTTAGATTGTTCTCCAGTGTTGGTTGGGTTAGTTGTTCTCCAGTGTTGGTGGGTTGGTTATTCACCAGTGTTGGTGGGGTTGGTTATTCACCAGTGTTGGTGGGGTTAGATTGTTCTCCAGTGTTGGTTGGGTTAGTTGTTCTCCAGTGTTGGTGGGTTGGTTATTCACCAGTGTTGGTGGGTTGGTTATTCACCAGTGTTGGTGGGGTTGGTTGTTCTCCAGTGTTGGTGGGTTGGTTATTCACCAGTGTTGGTTGGGTTGGTTGTTCTCCAGTGTTGGTTGGGTTGGTTGTTCTCCAGTGTTGGTTGGGTTGGTTGTTATCCAGTGTTAGTTGGGTTGGTTGTTCTCCAGTGTTAGTTTGGTTGGTTGTTCTCCAGCGTTGGTTGGGTTGGTTGTTCTCCAGTGTTAGTTTGGTTGGTTGTTCTCAAGTGTTAGTTGGGTTGGTTGTTCTCCAGTGTTGGTTGAGTTGGTTGTTCTCCAGTGTTAGTTAGGTTGGTTGTTCTCAAGTGTTAGTTGGGTTGGTTGTTCTCCAGTGTTGGTTGGGTTGGTTGTTCTCCAGTGTTAGTTGGGTTGGTTGTTCTCAAGTGTTGGTTGGGTTGGTTGTTCTCAAGTGTTAGTTGGGTTGGTTGTTCTCCAGTGTTAGTTGGGTTGGTTGTTCTCCAGTGTTAGTTGGGTTGGTTGTTCTCAAGTGTTAGTTGGGTTGGTTGTTCTCCAGTGTTGGTGGGGTTGGTTGTCCTCTATACTTAGAGGGTTGTCTGTTCTCTATTGTTTGGCTTCTTTGCATGAATGATCCCAACTATAGTTTCTCTAAAAGTGCTCACAGAATTCTGATACAATTATAAAGATTAAATGTCATTGTGGCCCATTTCTCATCCAATGCTGAATGTATCATTAGGATAGGATATGCACCAAGTATGTGGAATGTGGTATACTCGGTTTGGTCTCACGCATAATGTCTGACATCACTTTAAATGTGTGTGCTTTAAAGTAAGAGTTACAATGACTGTGATATTCTGTTCAAAGCCACAGATTGATTTACCAATTGTGAATTTCCAGATGCCATACAGACATTTCCTATTAGAGGATAGCAAGGTGTAACCATGAAGTGCTGGGACAGGTGTAGCCAGGTGTAACCAGGTGTAACCATAAAGTGCTGGGACAGGTGTAGCCAGGTGTAGCCATGTAGTGCTGGGACAGGTGTAGCCAGGTGTAGCCAGATGTAGCCATGTAGTGCTGGGACAGGTGTAGCCAGGTGTAACCATAAAGTGCTGGGACAGGTGTAGCCAGGTGTAGCCAGGTGTAGCCATGTAGTGCTGGGACAGGTGTAGCCAGGTGTAGCCATGTAGGGCTGGGACTGGTGTAGCCAGGTGTAGCCAGGTGTAGCCATGTAGTGCTGGGACAGGTGTAGCCAGGTGTAGCCAGGTATAACCATGAAGTGCTGGGACAGAGGAACCCATTTGTAGCCATGTAGTGCTGGGACTGGTGTAGCCAGGTATAACCATGAAGTGCTGGGACAGAGGAACCCATTTGTAGCCATGTAGTGCTGGGACTGGTGTAGCCAGGTGTAGCCAGGTGTAGCCATGAAGTGCTGGGAAAGGTGTAGCCAGGTGTAGCCAGGTGTAACCATAAAGTGCTGGGACTGGTGTAGCCATGTAGTGCTGGGACAGGTGTATCCAGGTGTAGCCATGTAGTGCTGGGACAGGTGTGGCCATGTAGTGCTGGGACAGGTGTAGCCATGTAGTGCTTGGACAGGTGTAGCCATGTTGTGTTGTAAACCAGGTAAATACTCTCCAGCTGTACTAGTACACCATACACAACAGTGCCTCCCTCAACTCTCTAGCTGTACTTGTACACCATACACAACAGTGCCTCCCTCAACTCTCTAGCTGTACTAGTGCACCATACACTGCAGTGCCACCCTCAACTCTCTAGCTGTACTAGTACATGTACACCATACACTGCAGTGCCTCCCTCAACTCTCTAGCTGTACTAGTACATGTACACCATACACAACAGTGCCTCCCTCAACTCTTTAGCTGTACTAGTACACCATACACAACAGTGCCTCCCTCAACTCTCTAGATGTACTAGTACACCATACACTGCAGTGCCTCCCTCAACTCTCTAGCTGTACTAGTACACCATACACTGCAGTGCCTCCCTCAACTCTCTAGCTGTACTAGTACACCATACACTGCAGTGCCACCCTCAACTCTCTAGCTGTACTAGTACATGTACACCATACACTGCAGTGCCTCCCTCAACTCTCTAGCTGTACTAGTACATGTACACCATACACTGCAGTGCCTCCCTCAACTCTCTAGCTGTACTAGTACACCATACACTGCAGTGCCTCCCTCAACTCTCTAGCTGTACTAGTACACCATACACTGCAGTGCCTCCCTCAACTCTCTAGCTGTACTAGTACACCATACACTGCAGTGCCTCCCTTAACTCTCTAGCTGTACTAGTACACCATACACTGCAGTGCCTCCCTCAACTCTCTAGCTGTACTAGTACACCATACACTGCAGTGCCTCCCTAAACTCTCTAGCTGTACTAGTACACCATACACAACAGTGCCTCCCTCAACTCTCTAGCTGTACTAGTACACCATACACTGCAGTGCCTCCCTCAACTCTCTAGCTGTACTAGCAAACCATACACTGCAGTGCCCCCCTTAACCCTCTAACTGCCCTAGTACACCATACACCTGCAGTGCCTCCCTTAACTCTCTAGCTGTACTAGTACACCATACACTGCAGTGCCTCCCTCAACTCTCTAGCTGTACTAGTACACCATACACTGCAGTGCCTCCCTAAACTCTCTAGCTGTACTAGTACACCATACACTGCAGTGCCTCCCTCAACTCTCTAGCTGTACTAGTACACCATACACTGCAGTGCCTCCCTCAACTCTCTAGCTGTACTAGTACACCATACACTGCAGTGCCTCCCTTAACTCTCTAACTGCACTAGTACACCATACACCTGCAGTGCCTCCCTTAACTCTCTAGCTGTACTAGTACACCATACACTGCAGTGCCTCCCTTAATTCTCTAGCTGTACTAGTACACCATACACTGCAGTGCCTCCCTTAACTCTCTAGCTGTACTAGTACACCATACACCTGCAGTGCCTCCCTTAACTCTCTAGGTGCACTAGTATGCCGTTCACCTAATGTGAAGTTTGAAACATCATAACATTTTTCATCATTATATTGTGTACCCATTTATTGAATTCTGTTTACTGATTATGTTTGTGTGTTTCAGACCGCCAGTTGGACAGAGAGGAAGCCACTGTAGGGTCCGTAGCACAGAAAGGTATGTCTCACCATCCATGTCTCCATCCAACACTACTTGTCTTCATCCAGGGGCACGGGGGGCACAGTCTGAGGTGCAGCAATTCGCTGATTGTGGGTTCACTCCGTTTATGTTTCCTGGTTTGTTGGGTACCATACCTATGCTCATGGGTTTCACCAAACGTCTGAGACATGCATCACTTCGGGCTTTACTCACACATAAAGCCAACACTACATGTTACCATACCTCCTTGTCAGAATGACCTGATTGGTTCACGTGATCTTGATAAAGTACTCTGTATCCCGCCAGCGGGAGAAAAAATCCCTTTATACCCTGCTTCAAAGAAAAAGGCGACATGCATTTTCCTTATTCCAAGACAATGAAAGTCATTAGTCAGCCTTAGCTCAATCGAGCAGCTGTTTTCTATCAATTTTGAATTTGTACCCCGTGTGTAACTTCATTGTCTCCATCCCATTTGTAACATCAATGCGACTCCATCCCATTTGTAACTTCACTGTCTCCATCCCATTTGTAACATCAATGCGACTCCATCCCATTTGTAACTTTACTGTCTCCATCCCATTTGTAACTTTACTGTCTCCATCCCATTTGTAACTTCACTGTCTCCATCCCATTTGTAACTTCACCGTCTCCATCCCATTTGTAACATCACTGTCCCCATCCCATTTGTAACTTCACTGTCTCCATCCCATTTGCAACATCACTGTCCCCATCCCATTTGTAACTTCACTGTCTCCATCCCATTTGTAACTTCACTGTCTCCATCCCATTTGTAACTTCACTGTCTCCATCCCATTTGTAACTTCACTATGTCTCCATCCCATTTGTAACTTTACTGTCTCCATCCCATTTGTAACTTCACTATGTCTCCATCCCATTTGTAACTTCACTATGTCTCCATCCCATTTGTAACTTCACTGTCTCCATCCCATTTGTAACTTCACTGTCTCCATCCCATTTGTAACTTCACTATGTCTCCGTCCCATTTGTAACTTCACTATGTCTCCATCCCATTTGTAACTTCACTGTCTCCATCCCATTTGTAACTTCACTGTCCCCATCCCATTTGTAACTTCACTGTCTCCATCCCATTTGTAACATCACTGTGTCCATCCCATTTGTAACTTCACTGTCTCCATCCCATTTGTAACTTTACTGTCTCCATCCCTTTTGTAACTTCACAGTCTCCATCCCATTTGTAACTTCACTGTCTCCATCTCATTTGTAACATCACTATGTCTCCATCCCATTTGTAACATCACTGTCTCCATCCCATTTGTAACATCACTATGTCTCCATCCCATTTGTAACTTCACTGTCCCCATCCCATTTGTAACTTCACTGTCTCCATCCCATTTGTAACTTTACTGTCTCCATCCCTTTTGTAACTTCACTGACTCCATCCCATTTGTAACTTTACTGTCTCCATCCCATTTGTAACATCACTGTCCCCATCCCATTTGTAACTTTACTGTCTCCATCCCATTTGTAACATCACTGTCTCCATCCCATTTGTAACTACACTGTCTCCATCCCATTTGTAACTTCACTGTCTCCATCCCATTTGTAACTTCACTGTCCCCATCCCATTTGTAACTTCACTATGTCTCCATCCCATTTGTAACTTCACTATGTCTCCATCCCATTTGTAACTTTACTGTCTCCATCCCATTTGTAACATCACTGTCCCCATCCCATTTGTAACTTTACTGTCTCCATCCCATTTGTAACATCACTGTCTCCATCCCATTTGTAACTTCACTGTCTCCATCCCATTTGTAACTTTACTGTCTCCATCCCTTTTGTAACTTCACTGTCTCCATCCCATTTGTAACTTTACTGTCTCCATCTCATTTGTAACATCACTATGTCTCCATCCCATTTGTAACATCACTGTCTCCATCCCATTTGTAACATCACTATGTCTCCCTCCCATTTGTAACTTCACTGTCCCCATCCCATTTGTAACTTCACTGTCTCCATCCCATTTGTAACTTTACTGTCTCCATCCCTTTTGTAACTTCACTGACTCCATCCCATTTGTAACTTTACTGTCTCCATCCCATTTGTAACATCACTTTCCCCATCCCATTTGTAACTTTACTGTCTCCATCCCATTTGTAACATCACTGTCTCCATCCCATTTGTAACTTCACTGTCTCCATCCCATTTGTAACTTCACTGTCTCCATCCCATTTGTAACATCACTGTCTCCATCCCATTTGTAACATCACTGTCCCCATCCCATTTGTAACTTTACTGTCTCCATCCCATTTGTAACATCACTGTCTCCATCCCATTTGTAACTTCACTGTCTCCATCCCATTTGTAACTTCACTGTCTCCATCCCATTTGTAACTTCACTGTCTCCATCCCTTTTGTAACTTTACTGTGTCCATCCCATTTGTAACTTCACTATGTCTCCATCCCATTTGTAACTTCACTGTCTCCATCCCATTTGTAACTTCACTATGTCTCCATCCCATTTGTAACTTTACTGTCTCCATCCCATTTGTAACATCACTGTGTCCATCCCATTTGTAACATCACTATGTCTCCATCCCATTTGTAACATCACTATGTCTCCATCCCATTTGTAATTTCACTATGTCTCCATCCCATTTGTAACTTTACTGTCTCCATCCCATTTGTAACTTCACTGTCTCCATCCCATTTGTAACTTCACTATGTTTCCATCCCATTTGTAACTTTACTGTCTCCATCCCATTTGTAACATCACTGTCTCCATCCCATTTGTAACTTCACTATGTCTCCATCCCATTTGTAACTTCACTATGTCTCCATCCCATTTGTAACATCACTGTCTCCATCCCATTTGTGACATCCCTATGTCTCCATCCCATTTGTAACTTCACTATGTCTCCATCCCATTTGTAACATCACTGTCTCCATCCCATTTGTAACTTCACTGTCTCCATCCCATTTGTAACATCACTGTCTCCATCCCATTTGTAACTTCACTGTCTCCATCCCATTTGTAACTTCACTGTCCCCATCCCATTTGTAACATCACTATGTCTCCATCCCATTTGTAACTTTACTGTCTCCATCCCATTTGTAACATCACTGTCCCCATCCCATTTGTAACTTTACTGTCTCCATCCCATTTGTAACATCACTGTCTCCATCCCATTTGTAACTTCACTGTCTCCATCCCATTTGTAACTTTACTGTCTCCATCCCTTTTGTAACTTCACTGTCTCCATCCCATTTGTAACTTTACTGTCTCCATCTCATTTGTAACATCACTATGTCTCCATCCCATTTGTAACATCACTGTCTCCATCCCATTTGTAACATCACTATGTCTCCATCCCATTTGTAACTTCACTGTCCCCATCCCATTTGTAACTTCACTGTCTCCATCCCATTTGTAACTTTACTGTCTCCATCCCTTTTGTAACTTCACTGACTCCATCCCATTTGTAACTTTACTGTCTCCATCCCATTTGTAACATCACTGTCTCCATCCCATTTGTAACTTCACTGTCTCCATCCCATTTGTAACTTCACTGTCTCCATCCCATTTGTAACATCACTGTCCCCATCCCATTTGTAACTTTACTGTCTCCATCCCATTTGTAACATCACTGTCTCCATCCCATTTGTAACTTCACTGTCTCCATCCCATTTGTAACTTCACTGTCTCCATCCCATTTGTAACTTCACTGTCTCCATCCCTTTTGTAACTTTACTGTGTCCATCCCATTTGTAACTTCACTATGTCTCCATCCCATTCGTAACTTCACTGTCTCCATCCCATTTGTAACTTCACTATGTCTCCATCCCATTTGTAACTTTACTGTCTCCATCCCATTTGTAACATCACTGTGTCCATCCCATTTGTAACATCACTATGTCTCCATCCCATTTGTAACATCACTATGTCTCCATCCCATTTGTAATTTCACTATGTCTCCATCCCATTTGTAACTTTACTGTCTCCATCCCATTTGTAACTTCACTGTCTCCATCCCATTTGTAACTTCACTGTGTTTCCATCCCATTTGTAACTTTACTGTCTCCATCCCATTTGTAACATCACTGTCTCCATCCCATTTGTAACTTCACTATGTCTCCATCCCATTTGTAACTTCACTATGTCTCCATCCCATTTGTAACATCACTGTCTCCATCCCATTTGTAACATCACTATGTCTCCATCCCATTTGTAACTTCACTATGTCTCCATCCCATTTGTAACATCACTGTCTCCATCCCATTTGTAACTTCACTGTCTCCATCCCATTTGTAACATCACTGTCTCCATCCCATTTGTAACTTCACTATGTCTCCATCCCATTTGTAACTTCACTATGTCTTCATCCCATTTGTAACTTCACTGTCTCCATCCCTTTTGTAACATCACTGTCTCCATCCCATTTGTAACTTTACTGTCTCCATCCCATTTGTAACATCACTATGTCTCCATCCCATTTGTAACTTCACTGTCTCCATCCCATTTGTAACTTCACTATGTCTCCATCCCATTTGTAACTTTACTATGTCTCCATCCCATTTGTAACTTTACTTTCTCCATCCCATTTGTAACTTCATTGTCTCCATCCCATTTGTAACTTCACTGTCTCCATCCCATTTGTAACTTCACTATGTCTCCATCCCATTTGTCTTCACTGTCTCCATCCCATTTGTAACTTCACTGCGTCTCCATCCCATTTGTAACTTCACTATGTCTCCATCCCATTTGTAACTTCACTATGTCTCCATCCCATTTGTAACTTTACTGTCTCCATCCCATTTGTAACATCACTGTCTCCATCCCATTTGTAACTTCACTGTCTCCATCCCATTTGTAACTTCACTATGTCTCCATCCCATTTGTAACTTTACTGTCTCCATCCCATTTGTAACATCACTGTGTCCCCATCCCATTTGTAACTTTACTGTCCCCATCCCATTTGTAACTTCACTGTCTCCATCCCTTTTGTAACTTTACTGTCTCCATCCCATTTGTAACA